GCTTTACAGCGCTCCAAGCGCTAATAACGAACCCGGCGAACGATTACACGGCGTGATTTCGCGCAGATTGAACGAGTGATTAATTCTCGCGGCCAATCCCGCTGTCTCGCCCCGTCGCCCTCTGCGGATTCGTCCTCGAATCCACCCCTCCGGGAGAGGATACTTTAATCCCGCAGCTACGGAACGGTTATTAATTCGTAGGTCGACAGAAAGGAGAGAAAAAGGTGAAAGGGCGAAAGAGTTCGGACATCGAGAGGCGTCGCTGAGAGAAGGGCTCGTAAAAAATAACTCCGTTGTTATCGTCATCATCGCGCGATTCGTTTCCTAGCACTCCGGTTAAGGGAGCGAGAGCGAGAAAACGAGGCAAAATTCTGCACAGCCGGAAACGAAGCCACATCATTTCCATTGAACGCGATATTGTGATTCTCTCTGCGATTGTCTGTCGAAGGTAGAATGATATCGACTCTGATTCTTTATAGATACATTGAATCGATAATGTTTTCTCTTAATTATTTGGCGTGGCGCAAATTGTTTCTGAAATTTAGAGAGTAAAAATGAAAAATGTTGGGAATGCCATAATAGTGTTTAAAGAGAGGATATTTTTATAATATTTAAATAATATTTCATATATTTGATTCAACACACATAATTACATACTCGTATGATATGCCATAAGTCATATAAATGTGTGTTATATTGGATTATTCATTTATGTGTATAAAATTAATACCTGTAGTAGGGAAATAAAATAAAATTAATAAAATTATTCTATAGTGTTTTTTATACATCGTACATTCTTTTTCCAAAACTAAAAATTATCATCGAAGCAACAGTTTTTAATTTAATCGCTGTTATCATAAGTAATTTTCAAGCGTATTAGCACCATTTTCAATTGTGTATAAAAATATGGAGTAATTTTTTTTATACACGGTTTTTTCTACGCGGATATCCTTTGAACATCTTAAATCCATCCTATCTTTTAAAGAAGATATTAGATTGTTAATAGCGCGAGTTATAACGGATGAACTTTCGGAGGTGCAAGTAGAAAATCTTATTCTTCCATTAGTTACAAATGCACTTTACCTTGATTAAGAATCTTACTTCTCGAGAGTCAGTTGGCGGAAGACTTAGTATCGCAAATTAAAAAGTTGGGAAAGTAGCTAATATCCCTAATCAAATTTTCATCGGGAGGAAAAAATCAAGTTGCCGATGAAAATTCGGAAAAAAAAAATCTTGCGCATCCCATCATTGTATGTCGCGTGATAATTCTTTCATTTTCAATCATCCTCGGTTGCCGGTAGCGCCCGGGATTCGCAGACAAAATATATACGTTCGCGATTATATGCACCAACAACAGAACGGTCGACAAAAAGGGTGGGCAGCAGCGAGAGCGAGGGGCTATTCTTCTGCATTGATTAATACGCCCCGTGGAGCTCGAAACGGTTTCGCGACCCTTTCTCTTTCGCTCGATTCAGGCCGACTCGCTCCGCGACGACAGACTCATCTCCGATTTTATGCCTCGTTTGAGGCACGTCCCACCAGCCCTTCCCCGAAGACACCCTCGACGACACGACGACGATCACGACCCTCCGACAACGACAACGACGACGGCACGAAAATCACAGACCACGAGATTCGCGACGCGGAGAAAACGATTTATTTGGTATTTAAATAAGCGTACGTGTCATCGTTCCGTAGGAACCATATGGGTCTATAAGTTGAACCAATGTCTTTTTTTTAGCAAGATCGGCGAAGGGGTGTTCGCAGAAGGTTGCATGTACATGACGCTGCGAAGGTTACGATCGATCGGGGCCGCGCGAGGCTGCCGGTGAGATTTTCTGTTTTACGGCAACGGGGGAACCCTTTCCGAAGGCATTTTGGACGAAGGTATATTGGAATAAGGCGAGAACATCTTTACGCGCAGATACCGCCCACAAGTTCTCGAGTATAGCTGCCTTGAAAAATCGTCCTCGATCGAGTAATACAAGCGTTAACCGAAAATTTCTATATTAATTTTCGATGATGTCCGAATATTAAATAATGATTTTCACACTCGATAATCGCTGGAATATTTATATAACGCTATTAATTATTTTTCACATTTCGTCTTCGTTACTTATTTCTCTCAATTATACTAGTAAATTATATAATTTTATTATATTATATTATATAATTATATAATATAACTATATATTATATATTATATAATAATTATATATTATATAATATAATTATATAATTTACTATATAATTATATAATTATAAGTATAATTATATTAGTAAAATTCTAAAACATTCAAATTAGATAGTAATTTTGTACTTTATAATACTGTTAAACAGAGAGAGCAACCGTATTCGTCGTCAACTCATTCCCCTTAGTCTTATGATACTGTTTTAAACGATATTCATCGTGTCTTAATCCACAGGTATCTCGGACAACGCGAGCCCTTGAAACAAAGTTGTCGGGTTTCCCGACAAGAACTCCGGAGACACACAATAACGTGCCGCTGTATTAAGCGCGCTAAAGTATAGGGATATCATCTCCGCTTTGCAAGCTTCATATAGCTCAGCGTACTATTCTAAGAGAAGTCGGAGAGGAAGGGAGACAAGAATATAAGCATTCATATCTGCACGACGAATTTCCACTTCCGGTGAGCATCGAGCCGAGAACTTTCCGTTTCTTTTCTCGTAACTTCCTTTCATAAATTCGTAATTAATTCAGCCAACAATAACGAGTGAAATATACACTTATATTCCCCGCTCTCTTTTGCCAAAGAAGAGAGAGAATTCAGAGCGATGGTAATATCTGTCACGCCGTCCTGCGACGTGCCAAGTCTATAAGTCTATATAGGCGAGGGTGGAAAATTATAGGTCTGTTATTGTGTACTTTCTCCCCTGGCTTTTCACGCTCGATCATTTATTTACGCAGAGCGGTACTCGATTCTACAAATCGATCGAATTTTTCCCCAAGAAGCAACTCTCTCTCTTATTATCTCAGTATCATAGCATTTTTAAAGCGAGCAATTCTAATTAGACTAACATTCCATACTGCCATAAACATTTATAATTAATTTTTATATTCATATTCATATATTAGATAAAATTTTGAAGAATTCAAATCAAAATTTATTGATTTTATATTTAGAAAAATAAATGAAAAGTATCTGTTGTTATTGAAATAATAAGAAAATAAGTATTTTTAAATGCGCATTTCTTTATAACTATGAGTTACAAATGAATAAAAAGTTTTCGTAATTAAATAAATTTTTATCTCCGTGTAAAAAATAACTATAAAAACTATTTATTATATAATCAACTCATTTTTTTAATAAAACTGTACTTTTAATATACTTTTACTATACTTTTATTGTACTCAGAGTTGATTTTCTCATTAAAAACTGAAATAAAAAATTTAATGGTCAACAATATAAATAACAATAAAACTTAGGAAATTATACACAAAAAATATATCTACAAAATATTAAAAACTGTGCAATAATAATGAATTTAATTTATCTTTGTTTTTTAATGCTCTATAAATATTGAACAAAGTGAACTCTGTACTGTCTGTTAAAGGGTTAATGTGGTCAGCGGATCATCTTTGAGAATATAAAGAGACTCTCCAAAATATTAGAGGCAGTCCGCGGTCGTCGGTCGTTGTATGGCATGTCGGCGGCATAAATTATATCAGAATGGAGAATATGCCCGCATAAGTTCTCTCGTTTGAGGACTGCTCGCTTTGTCCGTTTCGTCGGTCGTATTTCTAAGACCTGTTAAAGGCGATTAATTTTTCGACAATGGGAACAAATGTTTCAAGCATGCGAGATTTTCACAGTTTCCGTTAGTACTTTATGAGATTTTTCAATATCGAGATATTGAATCAAATAAAAATATTTTCAATAAGACGTCTAGTAGATCTTGCGACACATATTTGTTACTTATGTATAACGAAGAATGCGAAAAATAATGAACACTAAAGAATTCATGAGAAATCCATTCAACGTTGAAAGTTACGAGCAGTCACATCTGTCATTGTAAAATTATTAAACTGGAAAAACATGCTTTGCGTGAGAAATTGTAGGTAATAAATAATATTATAGAATATATTGCAGATTAAAAGCGTAAATGAAAGTATAACAAAAATATGTTCGCAAATCAATGGCAAAAAAATGTCAATGGTTCATAATTATTCATATATTAATGTCACTGTAAATTTTATAATTTGCTAAAGATGAAAAGGAGAGGAGAGAACAGAGAGTTAAAATAAAATAAATTACTAAAATAAACACCTCGAATTTAAATAGACACAATACGCTGTATAATATATATTGTTTTGTGAAAACAAAACAACAATATAAAGACGCATTTTGCAAATAAGCCAATATCAGATTGTAATTATTATTTAATTATAATAAAATAACAAAAACAATTTTTCAACAAAATTAATATTAAAATCATTAATGCAAAAAGTGCTTCGTTACGTTAATCGAGAGAAAGAGACAGCAGGATTTTAAAATAAATATTAATTTCCTCATATGACATGAATAATTTTATAATCCTTTAAACATGAAAACACACAGTTGTCAATCTTAAAGGATGTTAACAACAAAGTTACTCGAGTGCAAATTATGGCGAGAGATTAATTACCGCGATTGACTCGCGCTGTTAAGTACCAATGTGATTGTGGATGGTTAAGTCGAGCACGCGACGTTCACGCGAATATAAGTCGCGCGATTAGTGAATTTAACGAAGACGGATACGCGAGCGTCGCGACGAAACCGTAGACTTTTAAATTAACGGTGTCGGAGCAATTTGGTCGGTCGCCAAGCGTATAATTTACAAGCGTAATAATTCAAACACATAAATGCCGAAAGTCGGCGACGGAGATAATCGCCTTTTCGTGAATGTAATTTCGCTAGCTCCGGAATTCGCCCTGGGACGAATCGGAGCGGGATAAAAGGGAGGACCATCGAAACGCTAAAATAGGCAATTTTCCTTACTTTTACGATGATCAGGAGGTGGCCAAGTGTCTCACCTGTCGCGTTACCCCCGTTCGTCACAGAATACACCAAGAGAGATAAATGCGACGAACTGACAGCGTCACGTGTCACTGAACCGCCACTTGTAAAAGTTCACATCAACCGGTCGTCCCGGCGATCCTGGTCGCGCGCAATCACCGTTCCTCGTGAGGCAAGGGTGAAAACCCTCGATCGCTTACGGAACAGGCTTCAACAGGGCAAACGGACCATCACCGTTACCGTTCCTTTCCGGGGATGGGCTCGGGGGCTACGTCGCGCACCTCGAGGCGTCGCGAGCAGGCGATGCACCCGGTCGCGTCGGTCCTCGTCGCGGCGTGATTCCGCTTCTTCCGAAACGAACGATGGGGAAGAAAGCCAAAAAGAGCGGAGAAAGAGCCACGCGTTCGCGAGAGAGGGAGAGAGAGAGGAACAAGCGACGCGGCGACGACGGCGGCGGCGGCGGCGGCAGCGACGACGACGACGACGACGACGACGGTCGCGTGGTATCGATTCGTGGCCGTGGAAAGCCGGCGGCGAGACGGCCCAGAGAGAGCTTTTTCTTCGCTTTCTCTCCCTCCCTCCCCCGTGTATCCTTCTCTCTCTCCCCGCCGCGGACGACACGTTTAAATATCCGTCTACGTTGCGCGTAGGCAAACGTGTGCTTCGTTTTCGTCCGAGGAGGCCTCGTGTACCGCGCGCACGAGGTCGTTTCCTGGAGTACGAGACTCTCCTTCTTTCTTTCTTTTTCCCTCTCTGTGCGTAAAACAAGCACCCACAGATCGGAAACTGCCTCGGGATACGAATCCTACGAGCGCGTACGAGAGCGAGAGACGCAACGTGCGTATGACTGGTGCGTGTACGTAACGTAACAGAAGACGGATGCGTCTCCCTCGAACGTCCGGGTCGGACTGAACAGAGGGGCATCCGACAGGCCCGCGTAGTCGTTCGAGGTACCATCTCCCCCCACCCGGAGGAGCCACGCTTCGGCTTTCCCAACCCTTGTCGCGCGACCTCCCCTCCCTTATGTTCTTCCACCCTACCGCATCAGTGCCGTATTCCAAGTTGGACCTTCGAGTCTCGCGAACTACGGGAATTGATGTCTCTTATCTATTCTAATTTATTACTAATCATAGTTCATAAATAAAATCGGAAAAAATCGGCAAAAAAGGGGGAATTTTTTGAGCCTGCGCGTTTGAAAAAATGTTTCTAAAAATCTCTTTCCGCAGGAATTAATTTCATAAGATATTGAGTTCGATGTAATGATTTGATTATATTTGGTAAAATTCTAATTTTTGATTCGATTCGATTTGATTCGAACATTCGTAAATAGATCTTGTGTGTGAGTTTATATCAAAGTTTTATGTATCACTTTTAGTACAGTTGAGGATTTAGTAAAATGAAAATTAGAGTAATTTAACATTTATTAAGCCGAAATTTATAAATATTAAAAATTTACATAATTTATTTATAGGAAGAGAGAAAGAATACATATACAAGAGAATTACCAAATATATAATTTACATAATAAGAGCAACCCTTATAAAAATTAAAAATTATTACGCATAAATAAGTTTTATTAGGATAGTGTATTTTTTATTTTTTCCCGATTTTATGAAAGATGTCTATAAATTTAAAATAAATTAAAATAAATTTTTAAATTTTTAATATTGATTTATCTTGATATTATACCAACAATATGAGAAATAAATTTCCGCTGTTTTCACAAATAGAAATTTCTATTATTCATTTGTTGTGTTTATGAAATCGGAGAAAATTGCGCTAAATAATAGCTAGTTTGTTAATCGATAATATCTGCCGCATGTTAAAAGCTACTTATCGCTTAAGCACAAGAGTTCTTGTATATATATGTTTGCGCTCTACGTTATTATCTTCATTTATGTATTAAATTAATACCTCTTGTAATATAGAGTTTCCATAGAATGAAATTGTTAATAAACTCTATTTCTCATATTTTAATCCAATTTTTCATTCTTTCATGTAAGACACTAAATTGAACATGTATTCTTGAAAGCGTTTAAGTTTTAAAAAAATATTACGTAAAATTTATTTAGTAGGTTCAATCAAATTTTTCAATTTTTATCTTTAATAAAGAAAAAGTATTTTGGAAAATTAATAGATTTATTTAATAAATTATTTTTTCTTATCTTTTTTTATTGAGGTATAAATTTTTTCAAACTCAACAGCACTGTATTTTATAAAACTAAATTTGGCTCAAAATTACGACTCAAAAATTACGAAATAAAAGTATACATGTGTTACAAATGTTGTATATATATGTGTGTATGTATATTACAAAATAATATTGTAATTTAAAAAGCTTAAAATTTTCTGTCGATTTTTGTCACGATCGGATTTTCAGACACAAATGTATCACACGTTATTGTGTACGCTTTTGGCTTCCGGTCCCGATGTTCCTCTCATGGGAAAGAAAACCATCAGCATCCGATATGAAAGAGATATCGAAGTGGCTCACAAGCATCCCTTTTCCTCACCCTTCGGAAACGATACCCCTCCCATTGGCAGAACTGCAGTCCATTCTCGGCATACCTGATCGCGCCGGGCAACCTCTGCTTTTTCGGGCCAGGTATGCTTTGCCACGATTTCATAAAGGTTCTCGAAGAGCATGTCTCGAATGCTGTCGACCGCATCCTCGAAGGGCAACAAGAGAGACTAAAAATCATCCGTCTATAGCTAACATCTATCCTTGGTATTTCGTAAGAAAATTCACGGAACTTAGAATCAAATTGCACTGTTCAACAAGCAACGAAAGAATGTTGCGGAATGTGTGTAAAGAATATTTCACAAGTTGCATTTTGCAATACAATTCGTGCGGCACAAATGTACGTTAAAATGATTTCTTTGTTTCTTTTTTCTTTTCTCTTATAAAAAATATGATTTATGATATATTCACCACATCTTTATTCAACATGATGAACTATTTTTTGCTCTGCATCATACATAAAAAGACATGACATTATTAATTTTCATCATTTTATATTAATATGAATAAAATTATTTTATTCATATTAACATAAAATGATGAAAATTGATAATGTCAGATAATCTCATAGTAATGCATATTTCAGCAGACATTTGAAATATCTTTATATATTTTTAGTTGCTTTAATTTCTCTCTTTTTTATGTGCGTTTAGAATTCTTATTCAAAAAATTTCTTTAATAATAAATATTAGAAAAATACACCAACATTATTTATACAGATATATGTTACACTTTTATTTTATTTTATTAAACATTGGTTTTCTTCTTTAATATAATATTTTAGGATAGATTCTATTTACATTTTAATGAAATTCTGCGTTTCCATTTACATTCCAATTTTAATGCGTATCATTTCACATGACTAATGTGCAGTAGACTTAAATCGAACCTGATAGTTATTTGTCGTAAACAGAAGTCGATCCGTAAACAGCTAAGACTTCAACGACAAGCCGGGCAGTTTCGTTTCAGCGCTAAGTGCTAATTTAGTTTATGGTCCAGCGACATTTGTTTCAGAAGCCGAACGACTGCTCGCCCGGCGCGGAAGCCGGGGTTCTTTCCGCGTCATTCGCCAAGATTGAAAACACGGAATTACTTGTTGGTGGATGGCGAGAGAACAAGAGACCATGCTTTCTCGCTGGGTGGATGGTGGGCGCTAAAAAATGGTAATCCGATCGTTTCTACGGCGCACCGACGAAGCTTTACCGCGGGATACGCGAAAACCCACCCTAAACCCTAAACCAGGAGTCTCCCTCCTTTTCTCTACAAACCGACCCCATCCTCCACATATTCTCCCAGATCCTTTTATCAGTTTTCCCCAAGAATACGATGAAAAGGGACGAGAGCCCTCTCCGCCGAATAGTAAAATATTTCACGTTAGACCCGGGGCCCTTCCTTCCCCAAAAATCCGAGCGCATATCTTATATCGCGGAAGCACTCAACGAGGAATTTAATTCAATCGCTCACTTCCGAATGTCGATACGAAAACCTCGGACACGCATTATGTATTTTGGCAGCATTCTTAGTTCCGTGATCGTTTATCCCTCCCAGAAAAGATTATCTCCCCATGCAATACTTCTTCTATCTATCTCTCTATAAATTCAATTTATTTCAAGTTACTATTCATGATCTCATGATAAAATGTTGCAAAAGCTACATTAAAATAATAACAATATTATCCGATTATAAAAAAAAAATAAATATAAAATATAATAAATATAAATATAAAAAAATTAATAAATTCCGTAGAGCCTTATAAATATTATTTATATATTTTAAAATTGAAGCCGTACATCAGTAATCGCTAAATGCGTTATTTTTTAAAGAAAGAATAATTACGTAATATTTTTGTCATTTTATAAATTGATGCACGACAATAAAACAATGTTTTTAAAGTATTCTTAAATACTTTGAAAAAAATAAAATTTAGATAGAATGTCACCAGGTGAAGATGCTCCACGATTTTCAAGCTTTTTGTTTACAACAACAGACGTTCATTTAAAGGTGCTCGTTTTGTTTTTCGTTCTCAAGAACACGAGGGATCTTACGGAATGGAGATTGTTGCTGACGCAGGCTCCTCGAGCAGAGGATTTTCGAGCGCGTTCGCTCCGTTCCAACCGCAACGCGAGTTACGGATAATAACGGCGGCCTATCCGGTAGCCACCGGAGTCAAACCGCAACCACCCATCGGCATACGCCGCACGTACGGGTGTACGTGTAAGCGCATGCGGATCTCTGTACGTACAGGGGTGAGTGCGCGCACGCACCTGCGCACACGTACTTGACGTATGTATGTACTCGAAGGGATGAAAACTGCACGCGATGTTACCGATGTGCAAGTTCTCTCAACTCGATCCGACTCGATTCGACTCGCACGCATTAATGCAATGCCCGAAAACTATCATGTAAATCCAAAGCCGCGTAAATCAAAAGCGCGCCGAACAAGAACCGCTTGTATTGCGTGCGCGCAAAATCGGTTCTCGCTTTGTGCGTATTTGATTTACACCCTAGAGAACGCATTAACCGCGGCAAATCGAGAACTGTCTGTAAGTGTTCAATACGCGGATGACGGCAATGGCGAACGCAAAATGTAAAGGCCAGCGTACTACGCATGCAACCGACGCAAAATACGAGGATTGCATCGGGTCGCATCACCCTGGAGAACAACATGATGAATCTCTATATCCACGCAGACAACTCGCAGTGCAACCGTTATGAATTTTTATTTACAAACTCGATATATGATACAATGATACTTTATACGAGTAAAAAGACTACTATAGAGGATTTATTATTTATCACCAAATTTGCGATAGAATTCTATCTATAACTTTTGTATCGTATAATTAAAAACTATCTAAGAAGTATAAATATCCAAGAAGAAAAATACACACATATACAATCAAATAAATACAATATAATATAAATATAAATAAAATATAAATAAAATATAAATCGAGATAAACATATATATATGCGACATTTAAAATTATAAATAAAATTTTATCTTGAAATCGATTGTAAATTATAAATTGTTTAAAGTGGCACTAAAAGAACATTATGACTAAGGTGTTAGTGACATTTTACATTAAATCTAGAAGAATAGAAAATTCAAGTAACTGCGATGAATTATTTTCATTTAAATAAATATTTTTTCTACTATTCTCGCATCAAAAGACTTTTGCGTTCTGTATAATTAAAATTTTGATATTATATTTAACTCAAAAGACCTTTATATTCCATTAACTTTTTCTAATCAAATTTTTTAATAATATTATTTAACTCTTTAAACATTTTATATAAGTAAATAAAAAAGTAAATTAAAATATACATTAAGTCCGCAAAAACTTCGTATAATTTTATTTCGCTGTCTGGCCACTTTTATAATCTA